TGGTTTTGGGGAGTGTTCTCAGGAAGGTGCTTAGGGATTCATGGGGAAAAGCAAGAGATATTGCTTCTTAGTGTTATAACATGTTGTTAGATGCTCAATAATAAGGATATGAAACACAGAAAATGAAATTCTTATTGTTGTGATGGTGATTTTGCATGTTTTCTTTTTACAGTGCTGGGAATCAAACACCGGGCCTTGCATATGCTAAGGAAATGATATTTGAAAGGACAACGGGACACATATTTTGCAGATCAAATACAACTCCTGCGGTTTAATGACTTTTTTTTTTCAATTCTGAAAGACACTTACAAAGTTGCTTTAGCCCTCACGGTCCCAAGGGCAAGACAGAACTTAGCTCCGCAGATCTGTAATGTGACGTGCAATTAATGCTCTATGAGCCGTTTGCCAGAAAAGAGTTCAATGGTCATCAGTTAAAACACTGTGATGATAATTTCAATTACTAGCTAATTTCTAGATTTGAGAATATACTTTATTTTTAAAGTCTGATTGCATTTCTTTCCGAGTCCTTCTATGAGCTGGGAGTGAATATCTTTGACCCTTGACTATTCAACAGGAGCATTTTGCTATAGGAAAATAATAATAGTAGGGAACAATTGAACAGGAAAACATGATTTTTTAGGAGTGCTGATGGGAAAAAGGAGAACGTTTTTAAGGGAATTATATTGACAAGTTAGCAAATAGTGGCCCTAATAATTTATTAGGGGTTTTATTATAATTCGTCAAGTAGACATCACTGAGGTCATTTTTAACTGAAATAGTTAAAAAAAAAAAAAAACACAAAGAGAACTTTTCAAAGAAATCCAGCCAGAAGAAACCTAAAAGGCATCCATTTTCATTTCTTCAGTCTTTTAGACCAGAGTGGAGTTGTCTGTCTGCCTTGCAATGGGAGGGGCAGGACAGCTGTCAATAGAGGAATGGAAGTTAGGTCAAGCTTCTGAGCTAAGACCGAAATTGGGCACATTCCAAAACTTTTGAGGGTGTGAAAAGATGGAAGGACACATTGTGCTGTGTCAATTTTGTTTCCTAATTCTACATTTGTGTGTTGTTTTCATGTTGTCACACTAATGAATAAACATACCTTAGTAAAAAGACAAACTCCATAAAGGTAAGGATTGATTAACCTCTCTCTAAGTAATTGCTAGTGGCCTGAATATAGTTAAGTCTTTAATAAATTCTTGATGGCTTTCATAAAAATCAATCCACCCCAAATAGGGAAATTTCTGTTCCAATTACCATCCCACCTGGTTGACCACACCGACTATTTGGGCATGAGTTCGGTAGCTATGGTAACTTGTTCTCCTAATATAGTAAATGGATTTAAAGCTAAAAAATATTTGAAAAGTCTTTTGCCCTAGAGTTTTGGAAAAATAGGTTCTCGGGTATACTCTTTGAAAGCACAGAGAACAGAGAGATCTACCAGAACTTTGTTCTCCCCCTCCCCCCCCCAATACTACCATATATATGCTGGGATCCACACAGGAGAGGTACACACAGCACTTGACAAACATACTCTTCCAGATCAATCTTCACAGCTCTCTAAGTGAGGTGTGATTGCTGTAAATCTTTTTCTGCAATTGATTTATATTGTAATTAAGGAAGAGAAGAAGCACATACAAGGCCAAAAGCAGAAAAGTAACACACATTTTTCATGGAAAGTTTTTCTTCCCATAAGTCAGAGCACCAGGGAGTACTAGAAAAAAAAATTATGAGAAACTAGTCACGCTCACTGACATGATATGGGAGAATGCTAAGTCATCTGTGTTTTCTGTTTAAATGTATATATTTCAGTTGATTAAAAAAGCACATGGTGAATTGATCTTGCAGCTTATAAAAGCAATATTTCAGCTTCGATGTTTTTTATTCTTTTTTTAAATCAAATTATCTCTCAAGGCTTTTTGATGGAAGTTTATTAACAAGGCAATTCAGCTATTAATGCTTTGCAGTGCACCCTTGCAAAGGTACGTAGGAGACCTGACTTTTCCTATGCATACTGATCATACCTTCTGAAGGTCTAAAAGATCTCAAGATTGCATAGCTGAGTGGTTTTGAAGAAAGAAAATTGTTACTTTGTCTTTTTTTATGCAATGTTATTAGATTTTTGGCGGGGGAGCATTCATAAGAAACATTATATTGCTAGATTTTAAGCGGTATTTCAAATATTATCTGATTTCCAAAAAAGTAAGTAAAAAATTCAGAGAGATGAGAGCAGATGCAGCCCTTTTTGCTGGGGATGGAGGAGGTTGGAAGGATAATGAAGAACCTGGATGGTAAGGCTGTCTTTCAGGAAATGCAGTAACATTATTTAGATGAAGGAGGGAAATAAACACATCTTTGACAACATATCAAATGAAGAAGAGAAAGAGGTACCTTAATTTTGCATAAATATAGTAATAGTCTTAAAGGTATATTACTTACCCTAATATAATCTAAGGGAGAAAATATTCCAAGTTTCTTGTTCTAGTCAGTTAGGAAAGAAAAT